CGTGCGCAGGTGCGGCGCGGGTGGGCGGCGGCGTCTCGCCCGGGCACCGCCGGCCACAGCCCTGGCGCGTTCAGCCTCGCCGGTCACCTGCCCCGCTTCAGCTCCCCGCCCCCTGCGCTAGTTATTTCCCCCTCTGCGCCTTTCCTCGCGGCTTCGGAGCCCTCACCCGATGTGCTTCCTCCTCAGCGCCAGGGTGTCCTGCTTGCTGTACAGCTCGCACATGGTGGCGCGGCTGCCGGGCGCTCCCCGGGGCTCCCTCTCGCGTGTGCGCGCCTCCCTCGCGAGCCCGCGGGCTGCCTCCGCCGTGATCCCTCGTGGGGTCCCCTTGCCCTGGGCGTTGGAAGTCACCGGTGGCATCAACTAGCTGGGGTCATCCCCTTTTAAGTCTTGCCCTGCCATTGCCCTTCGCCAAGCCCCACCCTCCTGTTCCCCTCCTCCGCCGGGTGCCTGCTTTGGCAAGTCGCCGGACTAGCCACTCATTCGCCACCACCCTTGTCCTTGGTCTGACTGGCTCCCGTTCCTGCCCTGCCCTTCCCATTTCCCCTCCTAATCCTTGCTACTTCTCCGGACTCGCCTTTTATTTCTCTAACGTGGCCTTGCCTTTCTTTCTCTTCTGCCCGCGAATTCCTCCTTCCCCCTTTCTTTCTCGTTTCTTTTTGGTGTATCCCATTATGTTCTTGTAACCGTTCAGAGATAGGCGCTCTCTGGAGATACCCAGACTCTGCAGTTTTCTCCTTTCTCACACTGAGCTTATTTCAATACCATAACCTATAACTCAACAAAGGATAAGTAACAGGGGACTGAGTCTGGTACTTGCTGGGAGTGATAATGTATACAGTGTTTCAAAGATCCACTTTAACAGTACTTACACTTCTAATTTCTCTACTTTAGAGATGATAAAGCATACCTTACCTGGTTCAGTCCTTGAAACAATGCTGAGAGATGATCAGATTTATCATGCCATTAACATATGGGGAAAGTGAGGTTATTCCCTGTCCCATGATTACATGTCTACCTGGTGGTGCCCCTGGAATTCATTTCTAGGTTTCTTGACTTCCTTTGGGATGATCTTCACACACTGATTAAATTGGAAGTTCAATATCTGGACAGAGTTAACCCTAATTAACTATAACATTAAGCATGTTATTTTAAGAACTAGACATCCTCTGACTGAACTCCCCTGTTCTGTAGATAAGAACAGTGAGGCACAGGAAAGGTGGTCTTATTCAAGGTCATGCAACTACTTAGCCATAGAGTTTAAACTAGATCATTTCATTCTTTCTGTGTTTGAAAGGCAGCGAAGAAAGCTTAATTTACTTACAACAACACACTTGAAAACTGTATGCAGACTATCTTTCTCCTGACTGAAGTTATTAATTTACATTAATGCACTGCAGAAGCAGTATTACTGCATTGCCTAAGATAAATTGAGAAACTGAGTCCTATGAAGAACAGTGTGGTAAAAATTCTAGGTGTTATGAATGAAGGGCAGAAGGCACTTGGAAACTTACAAGGAATCCGGATCATGTAATCTTCGTCTAGTTCCATACTTGAAAGATGATGCCAAATGTACATTTATTCTCAAAACACCTAAACCTGGTGAAGTCACAGATAAGTCACGCTTTTTCTATAAACCTTCATGGTTTCTTGTTATTCCCAGTGCTTTAAAATATGTTCTGTAAATATTGCTGGACTGAGTCTTAGGGCCTAGATCTGGTTCTTCCGTAAGTTAGTTGGGCTCCTTGACCTTTTGGAGGCCAAATTTCTTTGTACTAAAAAAAACAAAAAAACCCAAAAAACTCTCTTTGACTCAAAGCATTATAAGGAGGGCTGAAAAGAGATCATGATTGTGGAATGTGTGGCAGGATCATTGTTAGGATCTCGATGCTCCTACCTTTTTTTTTTTTTTTTAAATACCTGATCTCTCAGCAGTTGACCACTCCTCTCTCCCTTTTTAAAGCACTTACTCTTCCGATTTCTTGGCAACACCACACTTCCCTGATTTTCTTCTTCTGTCACTTAACATTGAAATGTTGGTATCTCTGAGGGTAAGGTCTTAGGCCCTTTCTTTTCTCTGCGCTCTTTCCCAAGGTAATCCACCATGATTCCTTTGGATTGAGGACCCATCAAGGTGCCAAATTTACCTCTCCTCCCAGATCTTCTCAGTCCCAGACTCTCATATCTACTTCTTTTTTTGACTTCTCTACTTAGATGCTTCATAGGTATCTCCGACTGAACAAATCCAAAATGAAAGCTTTGATCCCCACCCCCAAAATGACTGCCTCTGATAGGGCCCCCCTATCAGGCATTTATGGACTCATTCAAAGTATATCAAATGCTCACTGTATGCCCCTGAATGTTTCAGTTGCAGGAGATAACAGTGAACTAGACTGAATGGATGCACCCTCGGTGGCTCATTTTAGATATGCACTGTCCAGCATATGGCCACTAGCCACAGCTGATTCTTAAGGACTTAAAATGTGGTAATCTGAATTGAGATGTGTTCTCAGTGTAAAATAAACACTGTATTTTGATGACTTAATACAAAAAAAACCTGTAAAATTTCTCATTAGGTGTTATATTGGCTACTTGTTGGAAAAAATATTCTAGATATATTGAATTAAGCAAAATATATCATTAATATTAATTTCACCTCTTTTTTAAATGTAACTACTAGCAAATTACATATGTCGCTTGCATTACTTTTCTTTTTTTCTTTTTTCTTTTTTTAAAGATTTTATTTATTTATTTGACAGAGAGAGATGCAGTGAGAGCAGGAACACAAGCAGGGGGAGAGGGAGAGGGAGAAGCAGGCTTCCCACTGAGCAGGGAGCCCGATGGCAGGGCTCTATCCCAGGACCCTGGGATCATGACCTGAGCCGAAGGCAGACGCTTAATGACTGAGCCACCCAGGCGCCCCTTGCATTACTTTTCTATTGGACAGGATTATTCTAGATGGACAGAATAAACACATAAACAAATAAATTAACAAGGTGAAGGCTTACGTTGCCTGAATTGTGGTAAGGGCCTTGAAGGAAACTAAGGGAAATGATCCTAAGCCAGAAACCTAGGCTTCCTGGATAATTCCTCTCTTTTTCTCAACCCCATCCCCATGTTAAATTATTTTTAAGCCCTGTTGACTCCACTTCAAAATATATGCTAAATCTATCTGCTACCACCCTGTCTACTACCACTGCAGGGAAGCCTTCTGCATCTCCTCCAAGGTATATGCAGACGCATTCCCTTGCTTCCCACTTCCCACCCTGTGCGGGCACGATTCTGTCCTTTCCCTTCTTAAAACCCAGCAGTGACTTCCAGCATTCCTCTCCAGGTTCATTTTTGCCTCCCCCAGGCCCCCACCGGTATTCCTTGTCCTTAATGACTTCAAAGACTGCATCAGAGAGGTCATTCTTGACTACTCTGCCTCACATAATTCTCAGTGAATTGAAAACACGAATCTTGGCCCTGTTCCTCTGTCTGAATCCCTCTTTGGTCTTTATCTGCCTTGTTCGTCAGTGTACCTCAGCCCTATCACAGCGCTTGACCTATGGTAGACTGATAAATATTTGTTAACTGACTGACTGACTGACTGAAACAGCAAAGACTTATTTAAAGACTTAATACCTTATTTTGAAGATGAAAGTTCTTACCGGCCATATAGCCCTTGAAACTGTTCCCTCTATTTGCCAGTTGATGGCCAACTTACATTTTAACCATTTCTTTAGGAGAAAAATGCTCAGATTCATTATCTTTTATGGGAAAGCAAGTTACTATTGCCAAAAAAAATGACTTCTCCATTGTTTTACTTATTTCACAATGTGGAATGTATCATACATTTTTCTCCTAGGGGCCCATTTAGCTTTCCTAAATGTCATTTGTTTTCCCATAAATACTCTTTCTCCCCTTCCCTTTCTCCCGTTAAGATGGTATATAAGCTCTGGGGCGCCTGGGTGGCACAGTTGGTTAAGTGACCGGCTCTTGGTTTTGACTCAGGTTGTGATCTCAAGGTTGTGGGACTGGGCTCCATGCTCAATGAGGAGTCTGCTTAAGGGCGCCTGGGTGGCTCAGTTGGTTAAGCGACTGCCTTCAGCTCAGGTCATGATCCTGGAGTCCCTGGATCGAGTCCCGCATCGGGCTCCCTGCTCGGCAGGGAGTCTGCTTCTCCCTCTGACCCTCCTGACCCTCCCCCCTCTCATGTGCTCTCTTTCTCAGTCTCTCTCAAATAAATAAATAAAATCTTAAAAAAAAAAAGAGTCTGCTTAAGACTCTTTCTCCCTCTCCCTCTGCCCCTCCACCTTCTCTCTCTCTCTCAGATAAATAAATAAATCTTATTTTAAAAAGATGGTATGGGTGCCTGGGTGGCTCAGTCGGTTAAGCGTCTGCCTTTGGCTCGGGTCATGATCCCAGGGTCCTGGGATCGAGCCCCACACCTCTCCCTCTCCCCTGCCTCTGCTCATGCTCTCTCTCACTATCTTTATCTCTCTCTCAAATAAATAAATAAAATCTTAAAAAAAAGAAAAGATGGTATATAAGTTCCAGATTCTAACTGCCCCGTCGAGTCACATTTTCCTGTGTGCTTCCCCATAAATGAATACAAATGTCTCTTGGGCGAATTGATAGAGAGGATAACTGGACAGACTGCAAACAGGTTCCTCCTCACTCCAACTGGATAATATGCAACTATGCCAGGACCGAAAAGAGTTTTCCAAGGACATAATCTGTGTGAAGTCTTGCTGTTTTCCTCCAAAGAGCTGGCAAGAGTTGGGGGCAAGTGACAAAGTCCCAAGTTCAATTACTTCTGGGCTGGGGAGGTGCATTGCTCTGCGGGACGCTTCCAGAATGTAGAACAAAACCAATGTTCCATTCCGTTGCTCTCTGTTCCAGCTGCCCTTGGAAGCTTCTGCAGTCAAAGAGTGCCCGCTTCTCGCTTCTCTTGGCAGCTGTGTATCTATCGGTGCTCCAAAAACTCCTGTTTCAAGGAACACATTTTAAAAAACACCAATATAGGTAATCTGAATGTTGAAAATATTATAGCAAATGAGGGAGGGAGCAAGAGGTGGGGGTCTCCCTTCACTCAGGCCTCAGCCTCAGCGATGCTCGCCATCAGCCACCGCCCCACCCCCTCCAACCCCTTGGGAAATCTACTCCAGCCAGCCCATCTCTGGTATTTCCACAGGATCCCATACTTGCCCTCAGGAGAACTGGTCACAATCGTAACTAATTAATAAATGAGCTGTATCATTGTGTTGAAGGTCTATTTTTCCTCCTTAAAATGAAAGTTGCATGGGCCGGAGCCTGGGTCTGACCTTTTCCCGCTGTATCCCTTGTGTCTAGTCCAGGGCCCAGCACATAGTAGGTACTCAATAAATACTTTTAAAGTAAAGATCGTATTTGCTTACCTGCGTAACAGCAGTTACAGCTAACAAATTATTATCTCCATTAT